ACAACTCAAAAGAAGGTATCGCTTGTCTGGCATTGTTGCTTGTTATGTAGCCTTTAGCTATACATATGGACTCTTATGAAATTATGTTGGTCCATTTAATCTTTGGTTATACTTTCCTTTTGGGTTATACTTTCCTTTGGGCCATACAGTTGGTCCAGATAAAACCGATTTATTTTTACTCTTAAGGTCGTTTGAGGATCTGTTCCTCAGGGGTCACATGGGCTTGGAAGTAGCCCCTGGCTCCTTTCTTTTACCAGTTCCACCTATGTGAAGATAAATCAAAGGTCCTGCTCGACCATGGTTGGCTTCGCTTGGAAGCATGGAGGAAATGATTCCTCTGTGTTGACCCTCCTTTTTATAGACTTGGACTGGTTCAAGTCCATCTGGTGGGGTCTCCTCGGCCTGGAACTAGTCGACCTAGGAGGGCAAAGAGCAAAAAGTGTCCTTTATGTTCCTCTGACCAAATTATTATAGGCCTCAAAATATGTCTGTTAAACACCCAAGAAGGTTAGTTCCACCAGTCTGGCATTTTTAATTACTGTGTGTCATGTAGATAAATCTTGGGCAAAGATCAGTTGTTCTCAGATAAACCTTACCTAGACATACATTTCTTGATCTGCTATGTATAATTTGTCAGTAGGTTGTGGGAGTAATATGGTGCTGGCCTTTTAATATCAGCGCTCAAGAGGCTGAGGTAGGAGGAGCCTCTAGTCCTTGATCTGAGACTACATAGACCTTGTCTCAACAAACCCATTACTTTTTTACTTGAATTTTTTTTTAAAAGAAACAACTTCATTAGCTGTTTTGATCAAATTAAACAGGTGAATGAGGACCTCATTCACCTCTCTTGCCCTGCTTAGCTTCAATAGGAGATACAAGGGTGATCTCCCAGTGCTGATGTTTACATCGGGTTTGAAAGAGGCCAAATCCCTTTCCCCTCCTTAGAATAAATAATGAGAAATGAGGAAAGTAGAGAAACTAAATGATTTTTCAGTCCTTTTCTTAATTCTAATTATTAGATATTTGTTCGGATTTCTGGTTTAAGCCCTTAATGTCCCTTTTCTCACTATTGTTTTCTGGGAAAATATTTAGGCTTATGGTTCCTTTGCCATCCTAATGATCTCATTTTGGAGATAGGAAAGAAACTTTTTTTTTTTTTTTGGCTGACCAAATGTGTATTTTTTTAAGTCAAAACTGTAAGCTGTTTATTATTTTTTCCTAAATGTAAATCCTAGATTTAAAAGCATGTATTCTGATGCCCATTGAAAATCTCCATTGGAATATTTTATAAACATCCTAGATTCTACTTACCCAGACTTGATCACATTCTGTATTTCTATTCCCCTTCATTTATTATTCCCCTAATGCCCAGGCAGATTGAAAGTCCTCTTAAGTCCTGGATTTGCATTCTTATTGAATATCTCTAGTATCAGTTACTGCCAAGCTGCATCTCTTAATCTTTGAGACATTTCTAAGTCATTAAATGATGTTATTGTAACCTCTAAATTTCTCTGCTTATTACCTTCATTTCTCCTGTAAAATGAGAGCTTTCTACATTATTCTAACAGCATATGTG